CAATGTACTAAAATGGATCTCTAATGAAGACTTTGGATTTTGTGGGTTTTGATTCATTATCTATTATTATGTACCGTGAACCTTTAACTGATGATTTATTTATTACACGTTTTGTAGATTATCATTCTGATGAAATGACTTTCCAATCTTTGGGAAGGAAAAATAACATCATGAAAAAGAAGGTAATTTCTTTGGAATGAAACAACTGTATCTCACTTTATACTCGCAACAATCAATGTGAGTAAGAGGTTAAAAAAATCATTTATTTGCGAAAAATTACAAATCAATATTTGATGTATTTATTGTTACAAAAGGGTAACACAGTCATATATTTCAGTAGAAAATATTTTAGCAAAAATTGATGTTCCTATATGACAATTTGCTATAGTAAATGAATCTCAAATATATTAGAAGTGTGGTTGACCAATTGGTTCAAAAAACTCCATACTTTGAAAATCAAAATTATAAGAGAAAAATCAACCCAATACTTTGGAAGAAATAATATTAGAAAATATTGATCAATCCAAAATTGAAAATATGGTTTTTGAAAAACCACAAGTGTAAAAAATAACGAGATTTTAAATTATATGTTATCTCATAAATTATGAGAACAAAATAATATCGTTATAGATAATATTTTCTCTTTTAACATGGCTCTTGATATTAAGTGAAATGAGGATTTTGAACAACAGACTGTTAAAGACTGTTTGATTCGCCAAATGGAAAGAAGTCATATAGGCATAATTGATTGTATCCCCACTTTTTAAATTCTTGCCTAAAGAGGAATTTTCTAAAAAGCATGTCACCTTCATTTAATTCCGGATCAATCATTGTGAATTTTTAACATCTGGCTTCTTTTTATACCCTATCAATGGAGCCAAAAAAAAAAGAAAAAAGGAAAAAAAAAAGAAAAAAAAAGATCAATTGATAAAAAAAATCAAACAAAAGCAAAAAATAATTAAAACTAACATTAAATAAAAATATTTCTTGACAATGGCGCCTAAAACTTATTGTCGATTTTATATCCTTTAAGTGTACGAATCGTAACAAGTAATAAAGTGACTTAAGAGTCTGGATATCTTCCCACGAGAACTACTATTTAACTATTGGTTCAATTATCCCTAACTTTAATTTGATCGAAAATAAACAAATAATTAGATGTTGTGATTTTTAATATAACTATTTGAAACTATGTGGATGCATGCAAAGATTGATTTAAAATTTAAATAATGAATGTATATTAGAATAAAACAATTTCACATATTGATCATCTTTAAGTCTCAATTCAAGATTCAAAAGTCTAATGTAATGTTTGGTCAAATTCTTCTATTGTATTCAATTTATCCCGCTCGAGCTCTCATTAAGCCTATTTAGCTAATTCAATCATAGATCTCTATGCGAATCAATTTTAGTTAAACAAAGTACTAGTTCCAAGAATTTATACAATGACTACAATAATCAGTACATGTATCTCTACATATTATACTAATTTATCGAATTTTAATATGTGGTCTAACTGTAAAACTCGCATCTCGATTCGCAACAGATTCAAAAGGTCATTGAATAATTGGCCAAATAATTCAAAGCATTAAATACTTAATTAAAATACATACATATGCATTTAAAAAACTTGAATCTTGAATAAAAGAAATAAATGGTCTCAAAAGATTACATTGTTTACCCTTATATGAATTTAACTACTCATAATGGAAGAAAAACTAAAGAGTTGCATTGAGTACATCATCGAATTTTGAATTAAGATGTAGAAAAGATGACGTATCTTGCACCAAGTTTGTTCTTCTCGTTCCAAATCTTGATTTCAAACTCTTGATTTGTTGTTTTTCTCATCTTGAACTTACTCTCTAAATTTCAAATTATGTTCTTTGTTGACCCCAAAAAATGTTACCAACAGATGCCGGACACACCCGTGCACACGTGGGCGAAGGTCCTACACGCTAAAACACGTGAACGGTCTAGGATGAACGGATCAGGGGCGTGGGAGTAGCTCGGCAACACGGGACGAGAACATTCAGAATTCGACGGGATGTTCTTAATCCGATTGTACAATAATTACCAATCGGTGATCATGACAGTGCATGTAAATATGTATGAACTCGTATTGTATTGTAAGATAATATGAAAGAGAGTAAAATGTGGTTTCTTGTATTGATTCTTGCATTAACCCTTTAATGTTATACAAGTGAAGTATTTATAGTGGTACGTGTAAAATGACAGCCCTTAGATGAGGTGGCACATGGCCTCATCTCTTTAATCCAAACATCCAATCCTAGGCATCATCCTTGACTTACTAGCTTATTGCGCATTTATTGTTTATGCAGAACCCCCACGCTAATGATAAGACTTGACATGTACACTTTGACAAACATTCCATCAATCATTCTCACAAGATCTTTATGTAGAAGATTTCTTGGGAGAAGTGATCATGGAAGACGTTCCTTCATGGTTTGGAGGCTTCTGCTTTGGCTTCGGATTCAGGGCTTTTGCTACTCACGTGGTACTTCCGCTATAGGGCTTCGGCTATTTTCACAGGCCTCGACATATAAGCCTCGACATGAAGGGTCTCGGCCATTCATGAAACCTCGGCTAGAGCACCACGTGGTTCGGATTGAGTGGGCCATAGGCCCAAGTAGCTTGGCCAAGTATGACAACACGTAACAATAGTTCCCCAAGTCCAAGTATAGTTATTTATATAATGCGTGGACTTTAATGAAGTAAAGCCAATGGGTTGGGTAAAGATTGAAAGAACTTTTGAACCCTAAATAATATTCCCCTAAGTCCAAGTATAGATATTTATATCATGGTTAGGTTAGAAATGTACTATTGCGGGTGAATGATGAAGAAGCCAAGGTGGTGGCATGAACTGAATGTGCGAGGCTTGATGGCTGAATGTTGGAGATAAAGCCGAGGTGGTTAGGAAACCGAACCTGCGAGGCTTGAAGGCTGAATGTTGAAGATGAAGCTAAGGTGGCTAGGAAATCGAACCTGCGAGGCTTGATGGCTGAATGTTGAAGATGAAGTCGAGGTGGTTGGGGAACCGAACCTACAAAGCTTGAAGGCTGAATGTTGAAGATGAAGCTGAGATGGTTGGGAAACTGAACCTGTGAGGCTTGAAGGCTGAATGTTGCAGATGAAGTCGAGGTGGTTGAGAAATCGAACCTGCAAGGCTTGATGGCTGAATGTTGGAGATGAGTTGGGAAATCGAACCTGCGAGGCTTGATAGCTGAATGTTGAAGATGAAGCCGAGGTTCATTGATAATAATTGTTGCTTGACAGTTGTGCTAATGATTTGATGTTTTACACATGCTTTCGAAAAAGGGTGGCTGAACCGTTGCAACTTCCAAGGCGCCTGCTGCGGCCGAGTTAAAATCATAATTATTAGAAAAGCTGGAGCTTCTTGAAGTAAACACGTTGGCTGAGGTGCGTGGGAGACACGCTTAAATCTGAGGCGTAGGTTTGAAAAATCGTTTGAATTCTACGCCTCGGATTTGATTTAAAATGAAGGGTTCAGATTGAATGAGCTTTGATCTGACGGTGGGGGTTCGTCCTTGCCCTTTATAAAAGGCGAAAGAACTCCATTTTTCTGGATTTTCCAGCACTTGCAATCTGATTTCTTCTCTTAGAACTTAAACATTCCCGCGTTGAGGCTGTCCATTCATTGCTTTTTTGGCACATTCTGTTCGTGTAGTTTTTCAGTAGGTATTTTTCACAGATTATTCTCCTTTTACCATGTTCTTAGTCATTTCTAAGATGGAGTCCACTTCGGATAGGGAATTGGTCACTGTAGCGTCATTGGGCCATGGGGTCAGTCATAGGAGGGATTCCGAGGTAGATAGGTATGCTATGATTGAGGAGACAGTAGCCTATAGCGAAGAGTGGGGGGCGTCTAGGGTTCCTTCAAATATGATAGGGAAGAGGCTGGGGAAGATTAGGAAGAGGTACTGTGTGCCTCACTATGTGGAAATGTTAGTTCTCGAATCCCATGAGCGGGCCTGTTATTCGAGGCCCAATTGTGTGGCGGTAAGTGAATACCTGTTTAAGGTAGGTATGCGTCTTTCTCTATACCCCTTCTTTAGGGCGGTGCTGAGGAACTTCATGTTGTCGCCAACCCAGGTTCTGCCAAATGGGTGGATCCAATTAGACGGGTCGTACTTCCTATGGAAGGAAGTATCACTTGGAGAGGACATGTCTCTTCACATTTTCATGACCCTGTTCCAGCCTAGGGTAATAGGGAAGGAGTCGAGGGGGTAGTATTACCTAACTCCTTGGAGGGCTCATGCAGCATTTTTGGTGGGACTACCTTCTTCCATCAAGGGGTGGAAGGAGTCGTGGTTCTGGGTGCGAGGTAGGTGGCAGGTAGTGGAGGGGACAAAGCCCTAACTTGCACAGTACCGACCCAGTACTACGAAGCTCGTGAGTCTCCCAGCCCAAGTTTGTAATCTATATTAAAAATTTTATTTTTCTAACTGTTGAGGTCTTTGCAGATAGTAGTATGAGGTTCGAGCTGAGTAGAGAGGAGTTTGAAGTGATAGAGGACATTTATAAGAGACCTCTGAAGCTTCGCCACTTCGACCACCTCATCGATAGAAGTCGCTATTTCCTCGATTTTAAGGTAATGGCCTCTAAGGATACGAAGTTCCCACACTTGTATATTTTTTGTGTTTTCATTTTGATACTGACGCGCTGTGTTCTGTAGACAAGTTTAAGAGGAAGGAGTACCCATTCCTGACATGGCGTCCATCCTTAAGGCAACCTCCACTGTGAAGGCAAGGCCTCTAAAGTCGGGGTGAACCGGCGCCAAGGAGGTTTGAGGCAGAGTGGAGCGTCTCTCCAAGGACAGCACATCGCGAGCTTCCAAAGAGAGGACCCCCCAGAGGACAGAAAAGTCCAAGGAGCCTTAGGGGAAGGAGAAAGTCCCTGAGGAGCCGAAGAAGAGAAAGTTGGTGCACGTCTCCAGCTCGTCTGGCAAGTTTGGGACTTCTATGTCCCATGAAGGCAAAGAAGCCGGGCAGCCGAAGCTACTAGAAGCCACCTCGAAAGCAGTTAAGATTGAAATGGTAAGGCGTGCCGAGGCTGAAGAGGCTGCAAGAAAGCAAGCTGAAGTAGCCGAAGAGGAGGCTGCTAAACAGAGGCCGGCTCGAGTGCAAGGAAAGTCTCCTAGCTTCCTTACTGGAAGGGAGGAGCCTCTGGCCCCAGCTTTGGTAGAGGCCCTGCCATTTGAGATCCGAGGTGCTACTGAAAATTTTTATAAATTTTGGATGGATCGATGGCAGCTGCACACCTTCGCCTGTGATGCCAGGGACTTGACGAGGGATCTTGTGAGCTAAAGTGTTAGGACTTTTGGCCTCGCACTGGAGTACGGGGTGACCCTTACTGATTTTCAGATGTGGACCCAGTCCTCAGAGAGGAAGACGGCCTCCCTTGCAAACGAATTGAAGGCAGCTAGGGCTGAGGTTGAGGAAGCTAGGGCCCAAAAACTTGAAGAATCGACGAAGTTGGAGTCTGCCTTGGCTCAGATAGAGGCATTGAAGAAGTTTATGAGTCCCAGTGCGAGGTAGCCTCATTGACTGAGAAGGTGGAGGTTTCCAATGACCACCAGAAGGTGACAGCCGAAGCCTTGGAGAAGGCTAATAAGGAGTTGGCAGGGGCCCAAGATGCATACAAGTTCATCGAGGGCCAAATTAAGTGGTACGTCGATGATGCAGCCCATGCTAAGGAGGAAGCCCAAAATGCAAGGGAGGAGACAATGAAGGCCTACATTGCCAACTTCCACAATATTGAGGAGTACAAGAGCTTCAGCACTTACTGGAGGAACTTTGCTTATGCCGAAGTGATGGAGCGAGCTGAGGAGTTGTATCCCAATCAGGATCTGTCGCAACTCAGGTCGGAGTTTATGGACGAAGTGCCTCAAACCCTAGCTGATGAAGTGGTGGGAGATGAAGTAGCAGAGGCAGAAGAAGCAAATTCTGATGCTCAAGCTGTGGAAGTTCCAGCTACAAAAGCACATCCATCATCTTTCCAGGCTTAGGATAGTTTTCTTTTCAATTACCCATGATGTACTGGCTTCAGGCCCCCCTTTTGTAATATCAGTTGAAAATCAATATAATCTCTTTTTCATTCAATGTTATTTCTTTCTTTTGAAGTGTGTTGGCCTCGTAAAGTAATTGAACGTAATGTTGATTGAAGAACTAAATAACTTTAATTGGGTATCTTAACTCCAATCACTTGAACAGATAAATTGTATGCAAGCCTCACGAGTTATGACCAATATTGGACTTAAGCAAATGAATTGTACTTAAGCTTAATAACTATAACCTGAAGGGATCCTAAGAAAGAACCCTGTTGCAACCGAACTAGGAATATTACTCTGATTCAAGTGTTTGAGCCTCGGAGTTCAGGTGAGGTGATCCAGAGATGGGACACTGGCTTATCATTCGAGGTGACGACGCTTCTTAACATGGTGGATGGTGCAGCCATGTTGAGGCTTCTCCCCTTAGCGTTCCGCCTCACCAAAGGGAGGCATGTGCATGCACCTCGGAGTTTAAGCGAGGTGGCCTAGAGATGGGACGCTGGCCTTTTCTCCAAGGTGACGACGCTTCCCAACATGGTGGATGGTGCAGCCATGTTGAGGCTTCTCTCCTTAGCGTTCAGCGTCGCCAAAGGGAAGCATGTACATGCGCCTCAGAGTTCAAAAAAGGTGGTCCAGAGATGGGCCTCTCCTCCGAGGTGACGACGCTTCCCAACATGGTGGATGATGCAGCCATGTTGAGGCTTCTTTCCTTGGCGTTCAGCCTCATCAAAGGGAGGCATGTGCATGCGTCTCAAAGTTCAAGCGAGGTGGCCCAGAGATGGGACGCTTGACTATCCACCGAGGTGACGACACTTCCCAATATGGTGGATGGTACAACCATGTTGAGGCTTCTTCCCTTGGCGTTCAACCTCACCAAAGGGAGGCATGTGCACGCACCTCGGAGTTCAAGGGAGGTGGTCCAGAGATGGAATGCTGACTCTCCTCCGAGGTGACGACACTTCGCAATATGGTGGATGGTGCAACCATATTGAAACTTCTCCCCTTGGCGTTCAGCCTCGTCAAAGGGAGGCATGTACATGGGTCTCGGAGTTCAAGCGAGGTGGCCCAGAAATGGGACGTTGGCCTCTCCTCCGAGGTGAGGAAGTAATGCAACACGTTAATTTAATCATAGAATTTTATTGAACCATAGAAATGTTACAAGAGCTGGGAAAGATCGTTTAGCGAGGTAGTACATTCATTGGTAATAGATTCTGAGGTACTCGATGTTCCATGGACGGGGTTGTGTCTTGCCATTCATGTCTTCAATCCAGTAAGTCCCAGGCTGGATCTCTTCTCTAATTTTATATGGGCCTTCCCAGTTTAGACCCAGGAAATTGAAACCAGGTTCCTTTGAGGAGAGGAAGACTCTCCAAAAGACCAAATCGTTGACTCGGAATTATCTCTTCTTTACCTTTGAGTTGAAGTACTTCGTCATCTTCCTTTGATATGTGCGGAGCTTCAACTGGGAGTCATCTCTTCTCTCTTCGATGAAGTCAAGGTCGCACCTCCGAAGCTCATCGTTTGTTACCTTACTAAAATGTAGACGTCTTGGAAACGGAAGTCTGACCTCAACGGGGCTCATCGCCTCAGTACCATATGCCATGAGGAAAGGTGTTTCCCTGATCGGGGTCCTCGTGGTGGTTCGGATTGCCCGAAGTACTTGTGACAGCTCATCTACCCAGACCTCTTTTGACACATCAACCTTCCTTTTCAGGACGTGTTTGATTGTTTTGTTCACAGCCTCAACTTGGCCATTTGCCTGTGGGTGGTGAGGCATGGAGAAATACTTTTTGATGCCGAGTTCTTCGCATAGTGCTCTGACCTTCTTGTTATTGAATTATCTACCATTGTTTGAGACGATTGAGTATGGAATTTCGAATCGGCATATGATATTCTTCCACAAGAACTTGGAAGTGTTAGCTTCTGTGATTGTTGCCAGTGGTTCAGCCTCAACCCATTTTGTAAAGAAATCAATGGTCACAATTGTAAAGCTTGCACCTCCTCTACCTTTAGGTAGAGGACCTATGAGGTCCACACTCCATTTCGAGAAAGGCCAAGGGCTGGAGACCGCGGTCAAATCCTGCGATGGTTGTCTTTGTACCGAAGAAAATCGTTGGCATTTGTCACACTTTCGTACAAACTTGAGGGCGTCCTTTTTCAGGGTAGGCCAGTAGTACCCCTACCTCAATATCTTTTATGCTAAAGATAGACCACCGGAGTGATTGCCGTACACGTCCTCACGAACGTCTCTTAATATGTAAGTAGCCTCTTCTCTTCCAACGCATCGTAAGAGTGGGAGGAGAAGCTCATCTTATAGAGAACATCATCAACGAAGAGGAAGTGAGCTGACCTCCTCATTAGCTTGTAGGCCTCACACTTGTTAGTGGGAAGTACCTGGTCTTTGAGGTATGCTACGATTGGCCGCATCCAGGTAGGAGTCCCAGTGACCCACATTACATTAGGGACCTCAGTTGACGGCAGGAGGAGGTGGTCTATAGGTACTACTGTGAGTAATTTTGAATCCTTGCTACGAGTAAGCTTGGAGAGTGCATCCGCATGAGCATTTTCGATGCGAGAGATCTGGGTTAGTTCAAACTTTTCAAAGGATGGGATGAGGTTCATCACCATTTTCAAGTAGGCGGCCATCATTTTGTCCTTGGCTGAGAAGTTACCATTTACCTGGTTAACAACTAGCTGGGAGTTACTGTTGATAAGTAGCCTCTTTACTTTCATTTCCTTGGCCAGCCTGAGGCTTGCAAGAAGTGCCTCATATTCTACTACATTGTTGGTGGCTTTGAACTCGAATCTCATCTCTGAGTTTAGCTCGTGACCTTCAGGGATGATGAGGACAACTCCAGCACCTGAGCTGGCGTCCCTAGTCGACCCATCAACGAATAAGTTCCATGTAGGGGGCTCGATGGGTTCCATGATTTTATCTACCTCGGGTAAATTGACGAATTCTACCATAAAGTCAGCCAAGGCTTGACCCTTGATGGCTACCCTAGCCTTGAACATGAGGTCAAATTCACTTAGCTCCACTGCCCACTTCAATAATCTTCCAGAGGCATCGGGCTTTTGGAGTACCTGGCTTAGAGGAAAATTTATCAGCACATGGATGGTGTGAGCTTGGAAGTAGGGTCTCAATTTCTTGGAGGCTGTGATCAAGGCCAAAGCGAGTTTCTCCATATCGGAGTAACGGGTTTTCGACGATAGGAGTGCTTTACTTATATAGTAAACGGGGAGTTGGGTGGTTTCCTTTTCTCGGGTTAGAACCGAACTGATGACCTCATTGGAGACGGCCAAATATAGCTGTAGGATCTCACCGGGCTTCTGTTTGGAGAGGAGGAGGGCCTACCCTAGGCACCTTTTCAGGCCTTGGAAGGCCTCTTCATATTCCTCGTTCCATTGGAACTTCTTCCCAGCTTTCAGCACTTTGAAAAATGGGAGGCATTTGTCTGTAGCTTTGGAGACAAAGCGATTAAGTACGACCACTCATCCAGTCAAACTTTGCATCTCCTTTGGCTTTTGAGGGGACCTCATCTTGTGTACGGCCTCAATCTTCTCAGGGTTGGCTTCAATTCCACGTTGATTGACCATGTATCCTAAGAATTTGCTGGAGGCCACTCCAAAGGTGCACTTGAGGGGGTTTAGCCTCATCCTATACCTTCTCAAGATTCGAAAGGTGCTGTTGAGGTGCGTTATGTGGTCCTCAGCCTCCAAACTCTTTACCAACATGTCATCCACATATACCTCAATTGTTATACCGATGAGCTCCATAAACATTTTGTTGACTAGCCTTTGGTAAGTCGCTTTGGCATTTTTCAACCCTAAGGGCATCATCCTATAACAATAAAGGCCTCGGTCTGTGATGAAAGAGGTGTGCTCGTCATCGGCCGAGTGCATGAGTATTTGGTTGTATCCGGAGTATGTGTTCATAAAGCTCAACAACTCATGCCCAGCCGTGGAGTCTACTAGTTGGTCAATCCTTAGGAGAGGAAAGCTGTCGTTCGGGCAAGCTCTGTTGAGGTTGGTGAAATCGATGCACACCCTCCACTTATCATTGTGTTTCTTCACTAAAATCGGGCTGGAGACCCACCTCGGATAGGTAGCTTCCCTGATAAAGCCATTTTGGATGAGATTCAGAACATCTTCCTTCAGAGCCTCATACCTTTCAGGATTGAGGGCTCTCCTTTTTTGTCTGTGCGGGGCAACGTTAGGATCAACTTTCAAGTGGTGGTAACTGACCTTGGGGTCTATGCCTACCATGTCCTCGTGCCTCCAAGCAAAGACATCAAGGTTCTTACTTAGAAAATCCTTAATCTTTTCCTTCAAAATGTTGGATAAGCCATTGCCTACTTTCAGCACCTTGGATGGGTCTCGAGGGTCTACTGAGAAGCTCTTAAGTTCCTTAATCGGTGATGCTTGAGGTTCGTGTTCAATTATGTGGGGATCGATCTCATCAATGACCAATACCCCTGGATTGGTTGGTGCATCAATCATATCGATATCTTCTGGTTCAGTGGGAGCATCACCTGGGACATCAGCTATAACTATATCGGCTATGATTACATGGACATCCCAGGGCTCTGTCTTTTTTATGGAGCTTAGATAACACTCTCTCGATCCTCCTTGGTCACCTTTCACCGTTGCCACTCCATTTTCCATCGGAAATTTCATGCATAGGTGGTGGATGGAGGTGACTGCTCCCAATTCTTTTAGGGTTAGCCTACCTAATACTCCATGGTAGGCCGATCGACTATCGACAATGAGGAATTCTATAAAGTTCATCGTAGTTTGGGGAGACTCTCCCATCTCCACTGCAAGTGTTATCTTTCCCCTTGGAGTGATGCTATCTCCGATGAATCCGTACAAAGGAGTTGTGGTGGGTGTCAACTGATGATCCAATATCATCTTGTTAAAGGCAGATCCGAGTAGAATGTTGACAAAGCTACTGTTGT